GGCGGTGCTGGGGGCGAGGGGGGTGCGCGTAGCGCACTGACGGGGGCCTCTTGTCCCTCCAAGGTGATAAACGCCCTGCAGTCAAAGCACCACTACGGTGAGGGGGAGGCGCGAGTCATTTGCGATAAGGTCCAGGCCAAGCTGCTGAAGGAGTGCCACGACCCCGCCAAGATGTGCATCACCGACCTGCGGATCTCGCACTGGGAGGAGGCGATCCAAGAGACGATCGGGGGGGAGGCGAACCGAAACCTGGCCGCCGAGTGCTATTTCCTATGGAAAACGACCCGCCTGCAGCACCTCACGCTGGCCGAGGACACGCGGGGCATGCTCACCGAGCTGCGGAAAGGGCTCCGCCTGCTCCTCCTGACCAACGGCGACAAGCAGACGCAGAGGGAGAAGATCGAAGCGTGCGCCTGTCAGCCCTACTTCGATGCCATCGTTGTGGGAGGAGAGCAGAAAGAAGAGAAGCCGGCGCCATCCATATTTCATTACTGCTGCGATCTCCTGGGGGTGCAGCCTGCAGAGTGTGTCATGGTCGGCGACTCTCTAGATACAGATATTCAAGGAGGCCTGAATGCTGGCTTGAAAGCAACTGTCTGGTTAAACAAAGCGATGACTACCCCGGTAGATACCTCCCCAGTACCTCACTATATTATTTCTTCTGTTCTGGACCTTCCAGCAGTTTTACAGAAGATGGAGCACAAAATTAATGCTAAGTTAGGAACTGACCATATGGCTAGTAGTAACGAAGCACGCTGATGGTTCCAGCATGCAATCAGAGACGTGCTGAGCTGTTAGGTGACTCACTCTTCTAAGAAATTTGACCCTAGGATTTTGAAGTCATGTGGGGTATGCTTTCTTAAACAGCAGATGGATGAATAAGCGCACGGTTGTCAGTGAAAACAGGATAGAAACAAAGAGTTAGATTAATTTAAAAGATGCAAGTGCGGTTAATTTAAAAAAACTGCCTCTGTCTGGAAATTATTTTGACGGACTGTGGCTAAAGTCTTATCTGTCTCTGACCTAAGTTGCTGGTCTCTTGTTTTTATAGTGGAAAAGAAAATTTGAATGTTTTGATCTTTCACATGCTTTGCTAACTTGCAAGTTTAGCAGAAGCTTCAGTTCAAACCTTGTTTGCAGTGTGTAAAAGACGATGAGAAAGAGAGTCTGGTACAATCTAGTAAATCTTCACAATTGATCTGCAGTTTATCTCAGGATAGTGAGAGTGAATTTTGCTATTTCTAAAACCAGAATTTATTGACAGAATTAATTATGTATCAGACCATGAGAAAATGCTCTACCTTTGATCTTTTTTCAAGTTTTCAGGTTTTAGAATTTTTTTCAGACTTTGCAGTGACTTTTCTCTTACGGAATCTGTATCTCTTGCCAAAAGTACGTAAATGTACATTAAAAATTAAAAAATAGGGGACCATTTATCAGAGGGACTTGATGGATAAGTTTTTACTTTATATTATCTTGGTGCTTCTGCGGATATGCGGTGTACTTGTAATTCGGATTATGAGTTTTGTTGGAATGTAATTGATAAAACAGGGATATTTTCAACGGTCTTCTTACTGTACTGCCATACTCTTTAAAAGTTAATATTATTGTTCTGTCTGATTTTATCAGTGAATTTTGATCAGACTTTTTGGAGAAACTGTTCTTGGTCTTGCTCAGGTGTATGACTACTCAGATTCAACTGCAGGATCGGTGCTTTTTTTGACTGTTTTAATGGCACTGCTATACAATCCCTCCTTACTCCAGTTTCTACATGTATTTAATGTCATTTACTCTGGAGAAAATGTGAGCTAGTTGTTTGTAAATGGCTTTCATGACTCTCTTCCAGGAAATTGGAAAATTATGTCATATGTATTACAGTACTGTGTACAACTTTATAATGTGTATGTGCTATTTCCACTACATGCAGGAGATGACTCTCTAAAACACGAAGATTTCTCTTTCCCAGATCACTGTCCTAATAATTTAATTTTTCTGTACTTCATATTCTTACTATATAATGGGAAAGTATTCACATATTAAATGGAAATGTAAACACTTGTTGGAAAACCTGTGTTTTTCAAAACCTATTTGCTGTATATACATTGGGCTGAGTATCTGGCCATATATGAGCAATCAAATATATGTATTATAGAATAATATTATAGAATATTATAGAATAAATCCATGACAAATCTTTTGAGAACAGGGATATTGAGCTGCTGGCAGAAGAGTGTCTGGCATGTGGGCAGCAATAAAAGATCAGCAAAAAGTGCAGAAACCTAGCAGGAAATGGGTGTGCAGAAGGAATCCTATATACAAGAAAGGATATATCCTATATACAAAGAAAGGATTCCTTTGTTTAACTTGACATGAATTTAAGTTAGTGTAGTTAAGTCTTGCATAGGATGACAGATTCAGTTTAGAGGAGGCTATTACTGATTTGAGTTAAATTATTTGGCAAAGAGTTCAGGTTGCATCAAAATATGTTGCTTCTACGTTGAGAAAAAAAAAAAGGAAATACTCATTACAGTTTGAACCCCTGTCATCCAATTGTCCCTTAAAAAAGGTAAATCAGTCCAAATCAGTCCAGGTTCTTCATGTTATCTAGCCAAGACCTTTGAGACATCAGGATCAATGAAGAGAACAGAGGCAGGCCCCACCTGTACCTTTGAGGAAATGGGCATATGCTAAAAATGATCCAGTTACAGTGGTATAGTACGTTGCCGCATGTAACATGAGCCAGTGGGACTGACTTGGCGCACCTTTGTTACTGAAGTAAGAAAGAGGCCTAAGTTCAGATCTTATTTTGCATTTGGAAGAGCATGAAAACAGTCACTGGTTTAGCTGATGAGCAAAGCGTTGCTAATAACATTCCTTATAACCAAGGATTGAGAGAAAAATAAAGATCATTGGGCCTATGAGGATTATTCTAAAAATAGAAATCTATCCAAAAGGTGAGATGGATCCCTGAAAAGCTAATGTGTTTGAAGTAACCTGGTCGTAACCATACTGTCTGGTACAAAAGCAACAACTTTGCTTACCACAGCATCCCAAAGGAGCTGCAGTGTAACTCTACATTGTTTGCACAGCATCAGGGTAATAGAACTTAGGTCAGAATGACGTTCCTGATACAGCTGAGATTTGAAATAACAAATAGTAATAATTCACAAGGATTGTGAAGGCTTGAAGGATAGATGTATATGCCAGTTTACCTTTTTTTAATAGAAGTCGAGGCTCGTATTCTCTTGCCACTGCATCATTTTGAAGTGGGATGCTGAGCCTGCTTACTGTATAAAGGGTCTCTTGTTTTAGAAGAGACTGCTCTTTGTTTTACACATGGCCAGTCGTTTTCTTCAACCTATGAATCTATGAAAAACCACTGTAAGTGAACACTCAGGTGATAGTGTGGTCCGCAGAGGCCACACCCAAGTATATTTTTTCCATTGCTGAGTACTGTAGCAGGCTGGATGTGACTACCAGTGTCCAGATAGGGCAGTAGTGTTACGGTGCTTCTGTAAAACAAGAAGAAACAGTAGAAGGGATTTCTCTATCTAGGGGTCTTAGAAGCAGTTACCCAATAGGCTGGATTAGGAATCAGGAGTATCTCTGAATACTCAAGATGTTTTTCTTGGATGGAGCTCTTACAGAAAGCCTAATGAAGAATTATTATATTTAACGAAAAGGAAACATAAATGTAGTGAAGGGATAATTTTCACATCAGAAGCGGGAATAGATCAATAAAACAGTCTATATTCAGTTCCAGTTAAGTTCTGGGTTTGCTTAGTGTCATGCCCTATTAGCTAACTTGTCTAGTTTAAATTATATTGCCAAAACACACTAAATAAGAAGAGGAAAAAGAAATTTCATCTATACTTTTAAAAACCTTTTCTTTTTTTCAGATAAATATTACCTCCTGAGGTTAATCTACAGTGACTTTAGTAAAATGAACTGAAACAATAGTTTAATACCAACTGTATTTTAATTCTTGATTTAAAATAATCCATGTACTAGTCTAATAAAAGTATTTTGTTTACAAAACATTTCTCTTAACGCTCTCTAGTACTGTGGGTAACTACGTTTGTGACCAGGTTTACAACGAAGGGCACGAATTCTGTTTTTTTAAAATAGCACAGAATTAGGCTTCAAAATCTGTGACCTGATGTTTAGATGTGGCGATTGGGTGTAGTTCCCATCATTTCAAACAGAGGCTGGAACGTAGTTACGTATTTATGAAGCTTCTTGGCCAGACTGTGTAAACCCTATCCTAACTGCAGTTCCTTGCTAGCTGAACCTGCCTTGCCCAGCTGAATGCCAGCTCAGCTATGCCTACGTGTCCTGACGTCATGGCACTGGCTGCTGCAGCAGCACAAGAGCAGACTGCAGAGCAAACAAGATAAATAATTACAGGAATCTCAAGTCCAGGGGACCCATTTCAGCAGGTTATGGGTGCACAAAGCCATATCTGAGCTATTGCTACACTCACCGCTGTGTGACTGAAGAGAGGGGAGAGTGGGAGGTTGCTCACCTCATGGCTTTCTTGCCTGCAGAAAAGCAAGCTGTCCCCTGATCGTTTTCCATTGCGTAATGGAACAAATTGTCCATCCTCTGGACCTGTGGAGATAGATGGGGAGAGGTGGGCAGGTACTCTAGATGAGGATAGGGTGTTAAACTGAGTAAAGGGGGACTCAGCCTCTAAGGCGGGCACCTGGCTGTGCCAGCTAGCTGTCTGAAGTATCCCAGAGCTGCACACCACAGCCTCTCTGCTCTTGTTGAGGCAGCTTTGTATGTGTAAGGCAGTAAGCTGGACAGCGAGAGCCTCAGAAATGAGGACATTTTCTTACGCACTTGAAAAACTTTAGCACAAAGTTAGAGTTGTTAAAAGGTGATCTGTCTGCTTTATACAGGAGATAAGTACCTTTCATTAGAATACTAAGTTAATGCAAAGAGATAAGATGTCTGAATGGGGTAACAAATAAGATGTTCATATTTCCTGAGATACAGACAACGGACAGCATCTTGTGCCCCAGCAAACCTGAGCCAGTCCTGTTTGTCTTTTCCTCTGAAGCTTCTGTTACTTGACAACACCAGTAATGGGGTTTTGAACTAAATTGAAGTAGTCTGATCCATCAGAGCCATTTCTCCACATATGCAGTGATTCTTTTTTCAACTTCAGCTCTAAAATGTGGGGATTTTTACTCCCAGGTTATCTTGAGGCCTTTAAACAACATTTAAAATCCTACCTTAATTCTATACTAACAAAACTCATCATCTGGAAATCATTTGAACACGTTGAGAAGTACAACAAATAGAAACGCAATGTATCTCTGCTGTATGTAGCGGTATACTGTTCTTTTGTGCACAGCTTTTACTATCAGCCTTGCAGTGGGATTGTCTCCATTATAACTCGCTTTCTAGATCACGCTGTGCACATACAAGAGACATAACAATGCAGAGATGATGTCAGCTGTGTCTAAAGCAAAAACTGCAACTTTCTGCCTATGTTGCAAGGGACCTAGACACAGAGAATCACGTTGCCTGCTCCGTATAGCATATTTTGACCTTTTATTCCATCTACTAAAAACAAGGTTGCATGAGAGCCTTCTGCTGAACAGTCCTCAAATGCCAGAAAAAAGATGCATTTTTAAAAATACGAAATGAAATTATGGTGCTAACACATGAAATTTCAGTCCTTCAGAATCGCAAGCCATGTTTCTCAGGTCAACACGCAATCAAAGACCAGATGATAACTTTGCATAGGG